CCATATCATAACCAATAATATGGAGTTTAATGTGTGAACCATATCATAACCAATAATATGGAGTTTAATGTGTGAACCATATCATAACCAATAATAAGGAGTTTATTATGTGATTAATAAATTCACTAACTGCCCAGCTCTAAGAATAGGCTACACGATATATTCTTTTCTAATATAAATACAGCAGAAAAAAGCACTTACTACTTTCCTTCCTAATCTGGTTAAAATTTTGCTCAGATTGGTGTGTGGACTGTCTTTCTCCTGATAAGTACTTCTGTTCTCGACTCCGTGTTCCTCCAGGCATGTTGATATGACTTGGGGACTTGGATGATGATGCAAATGGTTGAGGTACAGTAGACTGCATCACAGAATTTAAACTAACAGATCCAGAATGCTCATAAGCTTCTAGATGTTCTTTATCTCCAAGATTCTCTGCACATTTTACCACTTCATCCCAGTTTTCATGGTCTTTGGAAAAGCTGTTAGTGCCATGTTGCATATCATGCATTTTTGCTTCAGATTCATGTCCACTAGTTAATGACTCAGCCACTGCATTTGAAACTTCCCGAGCTCGGGTATGACTGAACTCTACCTCATTCACTTGAAATCCCGAAACATTTTGTTGACCATTTCCTTCTTTTTTGGATCTCTTGGAATAATCATTGGACATGCACCGCTCACAGTTAAAAGAGAAAATATTTTTATGTTCATGTTTGACCATCCAAGTACATTGTAGTGTTTGCTGAGAAGCTGTTCTAAAACTTGCAGAAGGAAGAGAAACTGACATGCTGGTCTTCCAACATGAGATAATATGTCTTGATATCATGATGAACCCTGGAATATACAAAATAATTCAAGTCAAAAGAAGAGGAGGATGATTTACGTAAATAGAACAAATCTAATATTTGTTACACGCCTCCCACAAAATTAATATAATTTACAGTTGCTATACAAGTCAAATATGTAAAAGTGCGAGTGCTACAGCCCCACCCCCTCCTCCAGTTCTGACACCTCTGATACAAGAACATGTACTAGCTAGACTTTTAAAATTAGAAAACATATTTAAACTTACTGCTTTATAAAAACTACAATATAATTATTTTGTCTCCAAATCTTTATAACATAAATGACGATGTACATGAGACAGAAACATGATCACTGTTACTCAGACAAGAATAGTTGTTTACTTACCACCAATAAAGTGAAACAAGCTTCACTGTAAATAAAAGGTGGTATGTCTTAGGAACACATAATTTATACAAGTGTACTGAGAAGCAACATACAATAAAGTGTTCACTAAGGTTTATTAGCATAATAACGATAGAAAAAATTACAACTACATTTTAATATAAATTGAATACGATCATTAAGATGTCAACTTTTTGCTGTTAGTTCTCATCAAAGTTACATTTTGTGGAAGGTTCATTAAGAAACTTGCTCATGCAAATAGATGTGGTGCTACAAACATAACACAAAAATGTAGGAAAAAAAGTAAATTTATAGTTTATTAAAACAAATACAGTTACAATAATTATAAACTAGGACATAAAACAACGTAAAAACAGTAATTTTATCCCTTAATTAATGCTAAAGAATAAAATTATACAATTATGATTATAATTAATTAT